GAGACAGAGTCTCTCTCTGTCACCCAGGCTGGAGTGCAATGGCATGATCTTGGCTCACTGCAACCTCTGCCTCCTAGATTCAAGCAGTTCTCCTGTCTCAGCCTCCTAAGTAGCTGGGATTACAGGCATGTGCCACCATGCCTGGCTACTTTTTATATTTTTAGCAGAGACGGGGGTTTCAACATCTTGGCCAGGCTGATCTTGAACTCTTGACCTTGTGATCCACCCATCTTGGCTTCCCAAAGTGCTGGGATTAAAAGTGTGAGCCATCAAGCCTGGCCTAAATTTGTATTTTTAGTAGAGAAGGGTTTTTACCATGTGGCTCAAATTGGTCTCAAATTCTTGATTTCAAATGATCTGCCTGCCTCAGCCTCCCAAAATGCTGGGATTATAGGCACCACACCTGTCCCCTTCCTTTTTGAAATTGTTGTTGCTCTAAGCTGTCATCAAAAGTCCATATGAAGAGAAATGTCCCAAATGAATATTGGTATTCACTGCTGTTTTGTGTCCTAAAGAAGGAGAGAGAGCAAGGTGTATGAAATTGAACTTTTGGGAAATTATTTAAGGTGGCCTTATTAAAAAAAAAAAAAGAATTGTAATTGCAAGATGAATTTGGATTAATACTTCTATTCAAGCTTTCTTTTCAAGTTTCGTTCTGAGGCTAGATCATTTTCTCTAAGTGTAATATGCTGAATTTTTAAAAAACATTTTCTTGAATAAATTGATTTGATTTCACAGTTTATTGAGTATCTTGTGCCAATGCAGAGTTCACATTTTAGGTTATGGATATAAAAGTGATTAGGAAAGCCACAGCCTGTGAAGAGGGTGATGTCGTGATCTTAAATGACCGGCTCTGAATTGCAGTTTGCTGATGTGTTGTGGTGCCACACCAGCTCTCACCTATGCAGTGGGAGACAGGCACTACTCATGCTCGTTTTTCTTTATTTCACTTCCCTGAAGGATTGGAATACTTTTCTGCTACGGTTCAATGATTTGGACTTGTGTGTATCAGAGAACGAAACACTAAAGCATCTCACAAACGACACCACAACTCCGGAAAGCACCATGACCAGCGGGCAGGCCCGAGCTTCCACGCAGTCCCCCCAGGCCCTGGAGGACTCAGGCCCGGTGAACATCTCAGTTGCAATCACTCTCACCTTGGACCCACTAAAACCCTTCGGAGGGTATTCCCGGAACGTCACCCATCTGTACTCAACAATCTTAGGGCATCAGATTGGACTTTCAGGTATGTGGTAGTCCCTCTCCATTTAGACTCCTCAGGCAACTGCTGTGACCAAAAGGGGGTGCACCGTGTATGCTTTTACTATGTTGTACTGTATTGTAGTCTTGCACATGTGTCTTTTTTTGTTGGGTTTGGACTATGTGAATCATTTCTACTACATCTTTACATGTTGAAGCACTTGGTTTGAAGTACTGTCTCCAAAGCCTGTAAGAACGAGAAACCGTGAAAACACTGTAAGGCCTAATATTTACAAACTTGTAATTTTTAGTGAGGCTTATCCTGTTGAAGTTTTCATTGCTAACTTCACATCTTCTATTGCTGTTAGTTTACAGATGTTTTCAGTGGCTGTTGTTAGTCCAGCATTGTGCTAAACTGCTGGGAAGAACTAGAAAATGACTAAGGTGGCTGGGTGCAGTGGCTCATGCATGTAATACCAGCACTTTGGGAGGCCGAGGTGGGTGGATTGCCTGAGCTCAGGAGTTCAAGACTAGCCTGGGCAACATGGTGAAACTGCATCACTACAAAAATACAAAAAATTAGCCGGGCATGCAGGCATAGTGGTGCGTACTTGTAGTCCCAGCTACTCAGGAGGCTGAGGAGTGAGAATTGCTTGAATCCGACAGGTGGAGGTTGCAGTGAGCTGAGATCGTGCCACTGCACTCCAGCCTTGGCGACAGAGTGAGACTCCTTCTCAAGAAAAAAGAAAAGAACATGCCTAAGATGGGCCCAGTGTGGTGGCTCACGCCTGTAATCCCAGCACTTTGGGAGGCCAAGGCTGGTGGATCACTTGAAGTCAGGAGTTTGAGACCAGTCTGGCCAACATGGTGAAACCCCATCTCTACTAAAAATACAAAAACATTAGCCAGACATGGTGGTGGGCACCTGTGATCCCAGCTACTCGGGAGGCTGAGGCGGGAGAATCACTTGAATCCTGGAGGTGGAGCCTGCAGTGAGCCAAGATTACGCCACTGCACTCCAGTCTGGACAACAAAGTGAGACTTTGCTTAAAAAAAAAAAAAGGCTAAGATTTGTTCTCTTCCCTTTGGAATTTTGGCGTTATGGAAGAGTCAAAGATAAAAAAGAGTTAACAAACATTTATCAAGCACTTGTAATAGTTCCTGCCACAAAGGAGATGCTATATAAGTGCTTGATAAGGGATGTGAAAAATACACTTATAAAACATGGTATTACATGTTTTAAAACAGTACTAAACAGTACTGTTTAGTAAAACATAAAACAGTACTAAACCCATGATAGACTATAAGTGAATCAGGAGAAGGGCTAGAACGCAGTGGAAGCTGGAATAATCAGGAAAGGCTTCATACAGGAGGCCTGGGCCTTGGAAGAATAACCTTTGATTATTTGGTTACCAGAAGGCTTTTTAAAAAATTCTTTCGTTGGGTGCAGTGGCTCATACCTATAATCTCAGCACATCAGGCTGAGGCAGGAGAATCGCATGAGCTCAGGTGTTGAAAACCAGCCTGGGACTATCTTTATGAAAAATTAGGAAAATTAGCCAGGCATTGTGGCATGCACCTGTAATCCCAGATACTTGCAAGGCTTAGGTCAGAGGATTGCTTGAACCTGGTAGGTTGAGGCTACAGTGAGCTTAAGATTGTACCACTGCATTCCAGCCTGGGCAATAGAGTGAGACCCTGTCTCAGAAAAAAAGCAAGAAACAAATAAAATGTTCTTGAAGGAATTTAAGTGCCCACCAGCCTCCTATTGGCTGATAGAGGTGAGAATATTCCCATGATAATCAAGGTATGGAAAACTTCTGGGTTTTCCATATAGCAAGTGGACCTATTTCTTATGGCAGGTCATTAGGACACCTTTGGGTTTTTTAAAAAAATTTTATTATTGCCGGGCACGGTGGCTCAAGCCTGTAATCCCAGCACTTTGGGAGGCTGAGGTGGGTGGATCACGAGGTCAAGAGATCGAGACCATCCTGGTCAACATGGTGAAACCCCGTGTCTACTAAAAATACAAAAAATTAGCTGGGCATGGTGGTGCGTGCCTGTAATCCCAGCTACTCAGGAGGCTGAGGCAGGAGAATTGCCTGAACCCAGGAGGCAGAGGTTGCGGTGAGCCG